ATGTAAAGTGGCGGTTCCCAGGTTCGTATAGAACTTCTGGCGAGTCTTCACTTTGCACGCCGCAGGTGAGCTGCTGGTCTTTTCAAGGAGTATATTTTTTGTGATAAAAAATAACATATTTCTCTTTACAGACCTCATTCCCTGTATAAAGAGTAATGGGGTCATGTCAAGGTAATAAAGGTAAGGTAACTTTATTGGATTATTAGGGCCCTGAAGTTATCCGTTAGGTGGCCTGAACGATAACTATGTTAGCCTTTGGGCTGTTAGCCACCTCAGGGTAGAGTAGTTGGTCTCTCTCTGATAGTATGTTTTACTTAGAGTGTTGACTGACGCTAGAGCTTCAGATAGATCTTATGTCCGGCCCATGGGACCGTTTTGACTTTTCTGAGTATTTCGCCCCTTGAGCTCTGTTGAGTTTTCATTAGGTTGAGCGTTCTGCAGCCCTTTGTATGGAATAATACAGACTATATTCTTTAGTAGGCTGTGGCTCCTCTGAGCCCTCAGATAGATCTATGCTTACAGGTTGGCCCTCACCAGGGCCGCCTCTGTAGCTGGCCTAGGCTGTGCCAGGGATATTAGAGGCGTTCTGCTAAAATTAGCATTTCTTCCTCTGACCCTTCACTTTGTGAATGTAGGTTTTTGACATCCCTGTATAATCAGCCTCCTCCCATGGGAGTCGTTAGGCCAAGGCCCGCCCCCTTCTCTGCATTCTGGGGTGACTAGAGTAATGCAGCGTGGTGCAGAGGATGGGTTATAAGGACATGGTAGGCCTCAGTTAGGCCTCCGTGGTATATAAGTCCTTTGAGCAGGGTTAGGCCGTCTTTCGCTACGCGAAGAAGACTGAGTCTCCTGCCCGACCCTGCCGTGCAGAACTGGCCTACGGTTTTAGGCCGCCAGTGTAGGCTTCACTAATACCTTGCTGAGCTACTGCTCAGGCTGTGGGTTGTAGGTGGTTGGCTTTCATTCAGGCCCCACTCCCCTAGGTTGGGCACAGATGTTTTTCTGTTGCCCCTAGAGCCGCTGGCAGGCCCGCACCCTGGTAAACTCAGGGTGAGGTGTGAGTATTCCCCTGTGATTCAGGGTAGGTCTGAGCACTTCACTCCCAGTTCTGTTTTTATCCTACCTCGCACCACTATGGCTCGGGTCGAGTATGAAGTAAGCCTTCACTTCTTCTTTGGTCGAAGTACGCTCCCCTGTAGCCAGAGCATTGCCCTGAGCTGACGCCCATGCATAGATGGTAGGCCCCTGACTAACTGGGGCCTCCGTTGAGGCAGAGTGGCGTATGTTGTACTCCCCTTGTTTAAGGGTGCTAAGCTCTCTTGCTGAGTACACTGCCGTGGGCAATGTGATTAGGCACCAGGATGCTGTAGGCGCTGTGTAAACAGCTTATCTGCCAACGAAGGCTGCGCCATCAGGTAGTAGGCCTCAGCAGGCCTCCTTGTATGAGCAGCCCCCAAGAGGGCGCTATAGGCTACTTCTCGAGAGAATTGGTTGGCCTTGGTGGTTCGGGCAGTTGACTCACCGGTGGGTAGTAGGCCTTAAACAGGCCTCCTCGGAGGTGAGTCCCAACATTGTGGGTCATGCTTTAATGCCGCTACAGGTAGCTAGCCGTACTAGGCCTCCTGTGGGTGGGCCCAATAGTTACATTGGTGTAGTATGGTTCCCAACAGTGTTCCTTTGTAGCAGAATTGACTTGCTATCAGCTAGTAGGCCCAACCGGGCCTCCCTGATAGGCGAGTCCCCAGCTGGCTGGCCTTAGCAGGCCGCCTTGGAACTGTCACCCGGACTCAGCTACCAGTTGCTATCAGGTAGTAGGCCCCTCAGGCCTCCCTGAGGGTGAATTCCCACTTAAGATGGTTATCAGGTAGTAGGCCTCACCCGGCCTCCCTGAAGGCGAATCCCCACCTACATTGGCTGTCAGGTAGTAGGCCTCACCAGGCCTCCCTGGAGACAAGCCCAAGGTCAGACAACTGGACAGCTAGCCTGACTTTCTATCGGGTAGCAGAAAAAGCTCCCAGATATTATGGCTGTCAGGTAGTAGGCCTCACCAGGCCTCCCTGAAGACGAGTTCCCACATGCTGTGATTATCAGGTAGTAGGCCTCACCAGGCCTCCCTGAGGGTGAGTTCCCCACATACTATCGTTATCGGGTAGTAGGCCTCTCTAGGCCTCCCTGTAGGTGACCACATACTGTTGCTATCAGGTAGTAGGCCTCACCAGGCCTCCTTGTGAGTGGTTCCCTAGCGGTGCTGGGTTCAGGAAGCTAGTGGCCTCTTGCTATCATTTCAGCTGGCCTTATCAGGCAGCTGCTGAAGGCGAGCTTGCGCCCTGGCTCGACTGAAGTGTTCATTCTCTGCTGCTGGTTCCCTCTCGGAACCTCTTTCCTGCCTACAGCCTGGTTTTGCCTACCAGGGGGACCATATGCTCCCCTCATTGAGGGTCACTGTGAGCACGCGGACTCCTGAGTCTGGTCAGACGGTCGTAGGCCTCTCGTGAGGCCTCCCAGTTAGATCAGTCCTTAGGCCTTCACAGGCCTCCTCAGTGTTTTGAAACACAGACACTGGGTTGATCCGTGGATTGAGTAGAGAAACTCCCCTCGCTAGCAAGGGTTGGAAAGCACTTGCTGAGTCATACTCTCCGGGATATCCCGTCTCTGAGATCCGGGCCGAGTGGTTCACTGCCAGCTTCGCAGTCCCTCGGGTTGGATGCCTTACTTAAGGCAAAGTGTCCAGAGGCTCTGTCTTCGGACAGACAGGAAGTGGCCAGACTAAGTGTCTATGCTCTGACACCAGGTCAGGCTGTCCTGGTGGCACTTCGGGGTGAGTACGTTCCCCTGAATAGTGACTGGCTGGGGTTCCTTCGGGTTCCCTAGCCACATTCCCTAGAAGGGACCCCTTCTAATTGAAGTTGTGGTCCTAGGCCTTTGAGCAGGCCCAGGTAGGCCTTTCATTTAAACATGTTTATGGAGGTTTTCCTGCTAGGCTTATAGCTTGGGCTATGACCGTAGGGAATGCTGTGACTGACAGCCCAGTGTGACCTGACGGTGAGTGGTTCTAGCGTTTCATTTGAAATTGCTGGTTCTGACAGTTGTCACTGCCTGAGGGCATTCACTCCCCTCAGCATGGCGGCGTGGGTATATCGTTCCCCATAACGTCGATGACGTATTGTTGAGTTCCCTTCGAAAGGGAACGTCTCAGGTTACAAATGTAACCTTTGTTCCCTGAGAACAGGGAACGAGACAATACGTCTCCCTGCCATGCCTCGGGGCTTGCCTGCCGTACAGTCCCTTCAGACGATAAGGTGATTTGTCATGTTTGCAAGGCGCCCTTATATACTTCCAGGTCGCACGTTAATCATTCACGCTAATGATTCACGGGCTGTCGCCGGTCAATATGATTGACGTGATTTGATAGTGATTTCAGACACCTGTCACGCCTGAGGCGTTCCCCATAACGTCGATGACGTATTGTCTCGTTCCCTGTTCTCAGGGAACAAAGGTTACATTTGTAACCTGAGACGTTTTTGTGCACAGTTGTATGTCTACGAATTGTGTTTTGCATTTGTGAAATGTTTTTATGAATATGTAATTTTATATAACAGACGAACAGTTATTCAACCGAACGTCCAGCTGCTATCTAAAAAAAAAAGAAAAAAAAAAGGTTCGACTATCAGTCGACTACGGCAAAATCTAACGAATCAGATTCGACTATGAAAATCCTTAGTCGAAAACAGCCCTAGTTTTCACAGATCCACGTTTTTAAGTTTACACGGAGATGATAAAGGTAAATTTTTTTTTTCAAAATTTGCACCTTGGAACCTATTTCAAAGTTTGCGTTCTCGAGCCACCAAACACTGTTAACGTGCAAATGCACGGCCAGAACACATTAAAAGTTTTCTGTTTTCAGTTAAAACGGTGTAGTGTAAGCATCCCCTAAGTTAATAACTAATGATCTTTGCAATGGAAATGAATCAATCAAAAACTAACTTTAGCTTGAACAATAAATTTAGAGTTATTGAGCTTAGAGCTGCTGTAAAGACAAAACAATCTCTGTTACTTTAATTTCCTATTATCACTGAAAAGCTGCTTTGAAACAATCTATATTGTGAAAAGCGCTATATAAATGAAGGTGACTTGACTTGACTAGTTTGGGAAAATTTCCAATTTCAGTCTGCAAGAGTGGTTTGAGCATCACCCTCATTTCAGTATGGTGTTCCTTCCAGCACATTCTCCTCTTGGAGAAGGAAAGTATTACGCTTACAACCAAGTAAGTCTTCAAGCGATGGAAGAGGCCTGTGGAGAAATTGAGGAAAATATGGATCCAGCATTCACTCCTTTTTTCCCCCCACAATCCATGACTCATGAAAATGCTGTGATGTTGATGAAATTCTTTGACCACGACCAGATGTAAATGAGAGGCAAGATCTATTAAGTCTGCTATTAAGTCAATGATTGCAGAACATTTATTTATTTAAGTACTTTTTTTTATTAATGAACTTTGAAGGTCACAATTCTAGAACAAGAAAAACATGTATTTTAATTCTGTATTTGTGTATCTACAGCTGAAAATATCATCAAATCAACAAAGAACACACTTGTAGTTTTGATTTTACTATTTATTTTTGATAAATGCATTACTTGAATAAAATGCAGTGCTTCATTATGCAGTGAATACTGAAATGTTTTGTCAACATAAGAGAGTGTTTAGTTTGCCGTGTTAATTGTTTTGAGAGCAACATTTGGAGAAATGTGTCAAATCGATTGAGAAAAACTAACATTGTTGAAAATGTGACCTTATTGTAAAGTGTTACCAAAAGATAAATTAAGAATTGTTTAATAATTGTTTTACTTTTTAACCTTACCATCTGTTTCTTAAAAATGAGCAATTATTCAGATTTAGATTTTGACTTTCATACATCCAGTAAAAACAATCATCATTACATTGAGAGTCATATGATTAGAAGAATATAATGAATTGATTTCATTTATTTTTCTCTTTTATATATCACACATATTGCATTTAGAATTGTGAGAGCCTATAACATATGAAATTAAAATGCACTCAATTAACAGTTCTGTTCCCTTAGCATTACAGGTTTTTGGCAGTTGGTGCCACCTCTAGGAAAAGCTGAAGGAAGACTGTGAGTTTATTTAACAATCCTGGGAACAGCTTGAAGTGAATGAAAGGGATGTAAATCATAAAGCTGCTCAGTATGAAGAGGATCACATAGAGGTACTCAATCTGAGGGTCATCAATGATGGGAGCCAGCACCAGGAACACTGCGGCCAGCAACACCAAGATTGGAATAATTATGGGTACCTTGGAAGGGTATACAGAAAGACATTTGTTGAATGTTAGCTTACTTTTCTGTCAATGTTTATCACGTCATAATGCCCACTGGAAAAACAAAACTAGTTTGTTAGTTTGAAATCCAGTCCAGTTTTTTACTGGTACTTTCAATGTTTCTTCTTGGATTGTCCATTTCTACAAAATAAATACAAAGCTCTGTCATGACACTCTAGATGGCGCAGGCTAATAGGTCCTAAACTCAACCTGCTTGCAATCACATCATTCTCTATTAGGGCACAGCTGATTGGTTCCTGCTGTATCATTTTTTTCATGATAAGAGCGGAGAGAATGCAGCTGAACTTTAAGTACTCTATCAGATTTGGTCTTACAGATAAAAGGGATTAATCATTCAAAACTGTAAACTTTTATTTGTGTATGCTCACATTCACAACAAAACTTTGTACTCTGTGAACTTCTTTCTGGAACACATCACAAAAATGAACCGAAACTCAACATGTACTTGCCACACAGACATCAGAGATAGGCCTTCTGTATGTTTTATAGAAAGCTTGAAATGTCTACTTTTAAATGAAATCAAATCGAAAACAATACTCCTTGACTATGTAATCCATATGAAACCAACGAGAGGTACAGTCTTTCCCGTCTGAGACCATTATTGGCAATGTGGTCGTACCCACATGCAGTGATGGCTAACACCCCCATCACCTCGTTAAACAAAGAATCAAGCTTCATCAGGTTATACCTTTTGTACTATATACTACACATTGTGTAAGAAATAAGCCTTGAATTTACCCTAGAAGAAGAATGCGATCAGATGCACCGGTCACATTAGTTAAAGCTACAATACGTAATTTTTTTCACCGCTACGGGTCGCTAACCTCTTACAATAACAAAGGCGTAGATTGATGACGCAGTGATAAGCTGAATCATGGAACTTGCCGTCATGCTGATGGATCTAATAATGTTTATGGATGAGTGAAAACATTCATGTTTTTTAACATGACTGTGGTATGAAGAAGCAGGTCACAATTGCTAATGACAGACAGATATCAGCGCCAGACGCGAGTCCCGGCATCTCGAAAATGCCACGCCGATATTGATCCTCGTTTTATTTCTCATTTTGTCAGTAGCACCTCATTGCAGTACACGAGATCCAGGGGGCGGAGTTGGATCCAGATATAAGGGGTGGAGATGGGTAGGATTAGGGGTGGGGTTAGGGATCAGGGGGTGGAGATGGGTAGGTTTAGGTATGTAAGGTGGGAGGAGTTGGATCTGAATCCAACTCCTCCCCCTGGATTTCATGGTCTGCAGTGAGGACCATCTCCATTTTGTCCCAAAGTCTGCTTGCCGTGATCCATAATGTTTGAACGAAACAACAACAGCGTGAGCATGCCGCTAAACATAACGCAGTTGTCCACATCTGTCGCCATTTACAAATTCTTGGAAACATTTAGGATAATGTAAGTACACAATTGAAAGAAATGTATAACACTGTGCTAGTGGTTTTTGGATATTTTGATACCAAATTCTTACATATTGAACCTTTAATGTGTTATTGTTATATAAACTTGTACACAGAGCTTGAAGTGGAAAAAATAAAGTGTCGGTACTCCCCCTCGAGGGGGGCGGAGATGATTAAAAACATTTAGAATATTAAAAACATATTCATTAATATTAATTTAGAATATAGTCAAACCTTATATTAGTGTAATCATCTAAATTGGCAATATGTTTAATCTGCCCTATATTAAACCATTCCTTTTTTTGTTTTCTATTTAAAAAACAAAACAAAAAGCAGAACATGAATCAATCAATTTGCCTCTTAATTCAACGTGACATCAAAAACACAAATCCCTTTACTCTAAGGTTATACATGTTGCAATCAGCTGCTGGGTCTTTATTTAATAGAGCGAAATAACTGTTTCTATGTCTCTGTCATTCACTCGGATAAGCAGTTTAAATCAGTACATTTTGAGTGCTGTCTGCCACTGCACTGTAAAACATATTTTCACAAATCTTTTGTCAAATCAGCTTAGGTTCTAGCCTGGATGCCAGCCCGAACCCCGCCCACAACATTTTTTGGTCGGGAAGTTCGGTCTGGACTCGATCCATTGAGGAGTAATTATGATCGGTTCAGAATTAGTCGGGCCAATCAAATTGCCAGGGCGGGCTTTATCCGATGATGGACAGATGATCTGCAGTTACGTAATCATCACGTTATCAAAGAGCGCTTGGGTTGAACTGGTTTCCCTCAAAGTTGACTGCAGCTGGAGAATTGAGATGTATAGACTCCGCTATCGCGTCTGTTGTAAAAGAAATCGACAGCGCATTCATTTTAAAAGACGAACAGAGAACTGCAATCAAGGCATTTGTTGATCGGAAAGATGTGTTTGCCGTCCTTCCTACGAGATTCAGCAAAAGTTTATTTTATCAGCTGGCTCCGATGGTCACTATGAAGATGGGACACAATGAAAACCCTGTGGTCGGTGTGGTTTCTCCTTTGGTGGCACTCATGGAGGACCAAGTAAAAGAAGCAACACTCGTTATTTTACTACTTCTTCCAGCGTGCGTGTAGTTCTGTTGACTTTGCGTAGCTCATAAAAAAAACACTTACTGCGTTGCTCTGATTGGTTGTAGGTCTATCCAATTGAGTGCAGAGTTCCCTTTCGTTGTCACTCCGAGTTCCGTCGGATGACGACGAATGGGGTTTCGCTTAGGAAGCCTATCGACTTCGAGTACTACAAAACGAGCCAATGGCAAAGAAATGCCATGGGTCTGCGGAATTTGCATAGCGTAACTCCGCCTCACCTTGTGGGTATTAAAGGAGAACGCTGGCAGCAAATAGGCATGTTTTCGCTTCGGAGCCAAGTGCATCTCTTCACTCCACAGCCATTTCTGACTTCAGTCTACGAGACGAGCCACTCTCTCCGGTGTTGGTGTGACGGCGATCTGCAGCGAGTTCACATTGCCTGCTGATCTGTGCAGTGATCTGCCAATGAGTGTGTTTCTCCCTGCTCGCTTCAACATCGCGGAGTTTTTTTCTCCTCTCACAAAAGAGCTTGCACGCGGCACGTCTTTTTAAAGACGGCTCGCCCGTGCATTTCTGGTTGCGGTCGACTCATTTCCGATTTTGATGGGCACATTCTCTGCTCTGCGTGCTTGGGCTTGATCACGCTAGAGCAGTGTTTGTGGATGACTCACGTTCTCCCCGCGGGAACGTGACCATCGCGTCATTACGGTCGAGACTCAATGATCTCGTTAGAGAGAGAGTCCCCTCATCCACACCCCGATCTAACACTCTCCACGTGAGGTGCTACTTCGGCTGGTGGCCAGGGTGACCTGAGGGTGTGAGTGTGGAACAAATCCGCCAACTGTTTGTCTGTGGACTACGCCCCCCTCTTCAGTGACGCAACCCGCGAGTGTTCAGGGGATTCCCCGGGTCTATTTTCGGATGCCCCGCGGGTTTCCCTTGACGCTCCAGAATCGGATCTGTTGTCCATCGCAGCATCACAGGGCGGGCTAGAATCTTCAGGAAATGAAGATTCGACAGTGCTGCCACTTTCGGGTGTGCATATGGCATTTGTCGAGTCAGATCCTGAGATGACGGCCATGCTTTCCCGGGCCGCTGCGAGCATCGGACTAGAGTGGAACCTTTCACCCTGTCCGAGCGCTCGCTGCTGGACGATTGGTTTTGGGTGTGGCCGCTGACTCCTGTCGGCGTCCACTCCAATGCCTTTCTTCCCGGATGTGCATCAGGAGATCTCGAAATCCTCGAAGACCCCCATGTCTTCCAGCGATCCCTCGTTGATCTCCTCCGCCCTTCCTTCCCTCGACGGGGCCGCTGCCCATGGGTACACTGGGGTCCCCCCGGTTGAACGCTCTGTTGCGATGCTACTGTGTCCTCAGAGTGCTTCCTCTAGGTGCTAAGCACCTGTCCAAAGCCTGTAGTTTTTTGTCTACACTTGTGGCGAATTCCTATTGCGCTACAGGACAGGCAGCCGCCTCACTGCATGCCATGGCCATTCTGCTGGTCTACCAGACCCAGATGCTCACGGACATGCACGAGGGCGGGACTGATCCAGGGCTCTTCAATGAGCTGTACGCCGCCACTGACCTTGCTCTCCGAGCGGCGAAAGTGGCCGTACGCTCCCTGGGTCAGGTGATGTCCACCATTCTGTGGCTGAAACTGTCTGATGTGCAGGATGTTGGGCGGTCCCATCTGCTTGACACCCCCATATCCCAGGTCGGCCTCTTCGGCGGTGCGGTTGAGGGCTTTGCCCAACAGTTCTCAACCGCCCACGAGCAGACTGAGGCTTATTCTGCCCCGACGGCCCCGCCGTCCGAGCAGATCCCTCAGTCTGCCCACCGCCGAAGGCGCCCTCCTGCGGCTCCCACCCCGCCCGTTCACCCGGGCTGGCTCTGGAAGCCGCAGGGGGACGCCACAGCCCTCTCCAGCCACGCCCCCCGCTATACGCCGGGTTAAGCGGCGCTCTTGAGATGGGCTCCTCAGAGATGGGACTCAGTTCTTTCCAGGAGCTGGTAGCAGGGCCACTCCTTTCCCTGGTGGAGGGCCGGGGAAGAATCCTTATTTTCAGAAAGAACTGACTCTCCCGTCTCTGAGCACACAGAGTTCTCGGACGACACGGTGCGCCGCCCCCGGGCCGTGCACCCCTCGTCCTCCTCTGTCCCAGAGCCGGATGACAGTGCGCGCCGTCCCCGGACCGTGCCGCTCTCATCCTCCTCTGTCACCAGACCCCTGGCAGAGCAGACCCCCGTGGAACGTTCGTCCTTCCCTGGTCTCCTCTGTCAGGACGCGGTCTATGCTGCTCCACCGACGGGAAGTCTGTGGTTCGCATGACCCCGCTGGTTCAGTCCTTGGGAGCCTGGCTAGAGCTTCCCAACCTGTCCCGCTGGGTCGCACGAACGATCAGGCTCGGCTACGCGATTCAGTTCGCGCGGTCTCCTCCCCGCTTCAGGGGAGTCCGCTCCACTATGGTCGGTGGCAATGCCCCTATCATGAGAGCGGAGGTTGCTACCCTGCTGGCGAAGGGTGCGATCGAGACTGTCCCTCCAGCCGAAATGAGGTCCGGCTTCTACAGCCCGTACCTCATTGTCCCGAAGAAAACCGGTGGGTTACGGCCAATCCTGGATCTGTGCGTTCTGAACCCCTCCCTTCACAGCCGCTCACCGCCAAACGCGTTTTCGAATGTGTGCGGCACCAGGATTGGTTTGCAGCGATTGATCTGAAGGACGCCTACTTTCATGTCTCCATTCTCCCTCGACACAGACCGTTCCTGCGGTTTGCTTTCGAGGGGCAGGCATATCAGTACGCAGTTCTCCCATTCAAGCTAGCCCTGTCTCCTCGCGTCTTCACGAAGGTCGTCGAGGCAGCCCTTGTTCCTCTCCGGGAACACGGGGTTCGCATTCTGAACTATCTCGACGACTGGCTGATCCTAGCTCACTCTCGAGATCAGCTTTGCGAACACAGGGACTTGGTGCTCCGCCATGTAGCCCGTCTGGGCCTTCGGGTCAACTGGGAGAAGAGCAAACTTTGCCCCGTGCAGAGGATCTCTTTTCTCGGTATGGAGATCGACTCGGTCGCCATGTCCGCGCAGCTTACAAGCGAGCGCGCGCAGTCACTGCTGACTTGCCTGAGACAGTTCGAGGGCAAGAGTGCGGTTCCACTGAAACTTTTTCAGAGGCTCCTGGGGCATATGGCATCTGCAGCCAATGCCGCTCGGATTGCTTCATATGAGACCGCTTCAGCTTTGGCTTCGCGACCGAGTTCCGAGGTGGGCATGGCATCACGGCACCCTCCGAGTAACAGTTACTCCGACCTGCCGTCAGACCTTCACCCCGTGGTCGAACCTCAGTTTTCTACAGGCCGGTGTGCCCCTGGAACGAGCTTCCTGGCATGTTGTTGTAACGACAGATGCCTCTGCCACGGGCTGGGGCGCCATGTGCAATGGACGTGCTGCTGCGGGCTCCTGGACAGGATCCCACCGCTTATGGCACGTCAATTGCCTCGAGTTGCTGGCTGTACGTCTTGCTCTGCGCCGCTTCCGGGCCGTGCTCAAGAATCAACACGTACTAGTCCGATCAGACAATACCGCCACTGTAGCGTACATCAACCGTCCAAGGTGGTCTGCGCTCCCGCCGTATGTCGCAACTCACCCGCCACCTCCTCATATGGAGTCAGAAGCATCTGAGGTCGCTTCGTGCCATCTATATCCCCGGAGCCCTGAACTGTGCAGCCGACGAGCTCTCACGGCTTCAGCCCCTCCCGGGAGATTGGCGACTCCATCCCCAGTCGGTTCAGCTGATTTGGGAGCAGTTCGGGGACGCACAGATAGATGCCTCTCACGACTCGACCCATTGCGCCCTGTATTATTCCCTGACCGAGGGCACGCTCGGCACGGATGGCCCACCCGGACCTGGTTCTCCGAACTTGTACTCCTCGCGACAGCACCTCCTTGGCCAATTCCTCTGAGGAAGGACCTCCTTTCTCAGGGATGGGGCACCCTATGGCACCCTCGTCCCGATCTTTGGAACCTCCACGTGTGGCTCCTGGACGGGACGAGGCAGGTTTGAGTACCCTACCACCAGCGGTGGTGGCTACCATCACTTCCGCTAGAGCGTCGTCCACGAGACACGTCTATGCGTTGAAGTGGAACCTCTTCGTCAACTGGTGCTCTTCTCACCGAGGAAACCCCCGGAGATGTTCGATCAGCGTCGTGCTTTCCTTCCTTCAAGAAGGGTTGGAGCGAAGGCTGTCTCCCTCCACCCTCAAGGTCTATGTCGCCGCTATTGCCGCACAGCATGATCTTATAGAAGGTAAGTCGGTGGGGAAGCACGACCTGATCGTCAGGTTCCTGAGAGGAGCGAGGAGACTGAATCCTCCTCGCCCTCCTCTCGTACCCTCTTGGGACCTCGCAGTGGTCTTAACTGCCCTGCGCAGTGCTCCCTTTGAGCCTTTGCAATCGGTCGAGCTTAACTTCCTGTCAATGAAGACAGCGCTTCTGATTGCATTGGCCTCCATCAAGAGGGTAGGGGACCTGCACGCATTCTCCGTTGACGAAGCGTGCCTGGAATTCGGGCCGGCTTACTCTCACGTGATCCTGAGACCCCGGCCTGGATATGTGCCCAAGGTTCCTACCACTCCCTTCCGGGACCAGGTGGTGAACCTGCAAGCGCTGCCCCCGGAGGAGGCAGACCCAGCCTTGGCACTGCTCTGTCCAGTACGTGCTCTTCGCATCTATGTAGACAGAACGCAGTGTTTCAGGACCTCAGACCAGCTCTTTGTCTGTTATGGTGGGAAGCTGAAGGGAAAGGCTCTCTCCAAGCAAAGGTTGTCTCACTGGATAGTGGACACCATTGCTTTGGCTTACCAGCAGCAAGGTCGACCGTGCCCCCTTGGTGTGACCGCCCACTCCACCCAGAGTGTGGCGTCCTCTTGGGCGCATGGCGCCTCGCTAACAGACATCTGCAGAGCTGTGCCTGCTTACATCACAGGGCACCACAACGTCCAATAGGAACATTCAACTGCAGTAGCCACCGTTCAACCTGAAGAGGGCAGCACTATATATCGTTTTTACACCATATATTGTAGAATTAAAACACTTTATACCCAAATGTCCAAAAAATTCAATGAACAGCAATAATAAAGCCCCAGTCTTACAGATCATTAACTAAAAAAAGTTGGTTTAGGGTTTACCCTTTAATGAAATGTATTTTGAAAATATTTACCTAATTGTAATCTAATGTACCTGTTTGTAACTAAAACAGCTATGCAACATATGGTATAAAACACCATATTTATTTTTATTCAGTTTGCACATTTTAGAGTTGTGAAAAAATAATCAAAAAATGTATTTCTGGTTAAACCGTATACCTGAAAAGGTAGAATTTTGCTATGTTATTGCACTACATGCATGTTCAACATGTTGACCTCCAGTGTGAGGTAGTTATTTATTTTTATTCAGTTTGCACATTTTCGAGTTGTGAAAAAATAATCTAAAAAATGATTTCTGATTAAACCGTATACCTGAAAAGGTCACAGTTATGGTCACAGTTATGTGGTTTTGAAATATGTGGCAAAGCAAATAAAATGCAAAAACTATTACTTCTGAAAAAGTTTTTTTTTTTTTTTTTTTTTATCTTCCCAGAAAAGTTATAATTTTGAAAATGTTGTGGAAAAGAAAATAAACAGAAGAAAATGTTATTTAGCAAGAAAACTGACAATTTTTTTTTTTTTTTACAAATGAGACATAAAAGCCCAATGTGACATATATGTAACATTAAAAATGTATCATAAACGCCCAATGTGACATATATGTCACATTACAGAACTTTGACAAGGAGTGGTTGTATTTTAAATAAAACTGCAGAAACATGTTTTAAGTGGTCCATTTAGTCTGTTTTATGTGCCCCATAATTTTCCTATAAGGGGAAATTGGTCCGGGTTCTAAGGGCGCATGCTTGGCCATAATCAATGTAGCGTGTGCACAACGCACATACACTTTGATTCTCTCATCTAAGCAGCAGTTTTCATTTTTGCAAATCATACATTATTACGATAGATCATAGATAGATAGATAGATAGATAGATAGATAGACAATTTATTATAAAAGCATACATGTAGCTCACACATTTACCCAAATTATCATACGCCTGTTTAACAGAAGTTAATTTGGGTGGGTTTCTCCCATCCCCAATGTCACTTCTCTGTGTTTTACGGCCCTGACGAGAACGTTGCTCTCCTCGGCTGTGAACCGCTCCTGGCGCGCGCCTGGCAAATCCGCCGTTATTAATGGAATCCGCTTTAGAACAAGCACGCCTGCTCTTAAAGGGAATGTGAGATGACACTCTGATTGGTTTATTTCACGTTACGCCCAAACCACACCTTTGAATAATGAAGCTACTTCAGACCAACCCCTTTTAGATTTGCGCCTGGCGCAAGAGTCATTTATCCCGCCGGGAAAATAGCAACAGCGCCCAAGACCCGCCCACAAAGTTACTTGCGCTTTGCGCTTGACACTTGCGTTTTAGATCGTTAAAATAGGGCCCATAATCTTAAATTATTCAATGTAATTATATTAAACCTTAAATTTTACATTATGTTTGGTAAAAAAAACCATAAAAACTATTACACATGTTTAGGCTATTGAACATTTAATTTATACTGAACTATCCAAAATAAAACTTCTAAGCAAATCACACTTAAAACAGAACATATAACAAATAAGGTTGTTAAAAGTTGTTAGTAGACCCTGCTCAATGTGATATTTTTACCTTACAAATTCGACATTCTGCCTTTATGTTGTCTATATTATTAAAATGCATCCATGCTACTTAGTTTGCGTGTAACTCATCTTGTTTTCTGACCCGATATTTAGGATGATCTTTCGACCACACAAACTCCATGCAGTGACTGAATGTTATGTTAATGTGAATGTGCGTGCGACGAATCAGGAGTGGCGGGATAATGTCCTCATCACATGTGATCGCACACAAATACACATCAAAAATAACATTCAGTTAGTGTATGGACTACGTGTGGCTGAGCAGTGTAACGAAAGGATAATCATAATATTCTGTCTAGTATTAATATACAAAATAGGAAATCAGCTCTCAGATGGGATCCGACTCTCACCGTTCACTTAAAAGAGTCGGCTCTATGAGAGATAATTTAATTTCCCACAAGGATAAATGCAATAACACACATTTGCAATGAATGAATGGGTTAATGAATGGATCATGAATGTGTGTTCTCACCGTAATTTTCCTGGGAAGGTCAGGTTTCTTGATTTTTAAATACAGAAGACCTGATATTGTCATCCCATAGAAGATCCAGGCAGTAAAGCTAGAAAACAAATGGAATAATGTCAGAGAAACATTTTTGGCCAAATTTTGCTAAAAAGAAATTCTGATTACCATGGCCCAAAATAAAAATTCTCCAATAAACTTCAGAAAATGCTTAAGTGCATGTGATCAGGAGCGTGTGATCACTGGTGTGGTGAACAGCACATTCCAGGGCACAGTTTATGGCCAGGCCCCTCTCTGTCCATAACAGTGGACAAAAGTTTGCTACATTTTGATTGGATCTTGGTGAACTAACAGAAAGAAACTGTCCAATGCTATCAGATAAAAATACGAGGACAAAATGACCCATGGACAAAATGGGTCCACAGGATTACCCGGAGGCCCACAGGACCTGTTTGAGAAGATAGCGGAGGCATGTGGGTAGGCTCGCATCCAATGGCCGGTGCTCCTGATCCCACTGCTGCCCGGTGGAGGCACAGTTAGCAGCCCAACAGTTGCCTGTGGAGAACCTTCAGGTAAGTGGAGCTGAAGGATGACCGTCGGCTTTTCATAATGGCCCAACAGCTCCGGGACACTTGCCGCAAGTGGCTGCTAACACAGACTCACGATGCCGAGGAAATAATCGATCTGGAGCAGTAGTGCTGGAGCAGTTCATCGCTCGGCTGCCACGCAGGACTGTTGAGTGGGTCCAGTGCCATCGCCCAGCGTCGCTGAATCTGGCCCTCCAGCTTGCAGAGTTCCATCTGGTGGCACGCCCAGGGGTCGACTAGCCCCTTCCGGCTGTTTCTCTCTCCAGCCTTTCTCCCTCTTTTTCTTTATGGGCAGTACCTAATACCTCTTAGTATTAAGGGGGGTAAATATCAGGCTTTGGTGGATTCAGGCTGTAACCAAACCTCCATTCATCAATACCTAATACAAAACAGGGCATTGGATATGAGCCGCAAGGTTAAGGTGAGGTGTGTGCACAGCAATGTGGTGGAATACCCTCTAATGCCTGCTAATATACAATTCAAGGGGAAAAGGCATAGAGTAAAGGGGGCGGTTAATCCCCACTTTAGGCATCCGCTGATTTTGGGAACGGATTGGGCATTTTTTTTCCAGATTTTTGGGAATTCTTTGTGCGGATGCTTCTTGGGCGATAGGGCTAGGGAGAGGAGAGGCTGGGGATGCTGTCGCAGGACCGTCACAGATCACCTCAGAGGAAACGAGAACGAGGGTGGAGCTAATGCCGCCTGAGTTTGGACTTTCCTCTGTAGTAGTCTGTGATGAAACGCTCAAGCATGCATTTGAAAGGGTCCACGCCATCGATGGACAGCTGCTCCAGCCTGATCAGCTGCTTTTTCTTTCCCTATTTTGCCATAATAAGGGACAGGTTGTACCGGGGGGCACAAGACGCCCAGACAAAAGAAGATACAACTCAATTATTAGTTCCAAAAAATATTCAGGAATCCCTTTTCCAGGTGTTCGTTGACGACCTTTTTTCCCCTGACTAAGACGATGAGAGACGACACCCACGTCATTAAACAATAACTGTGACTATATCAACAACATGCAATATCGTAGACGAAAAAATACGAGACTGAAATGTGTTTAAAAAAAATTAAAACTTGACCAAAACCACTTGTTTTTGTCAAATAAAGGAGACGACAACACATTGGCTGTTTTTACGAGCGTTCATGCTTACAGTTGCCAGATTTCAATACTTGAAAACGTCTCGGTTACATATGGTAACCCTCGTTCCCTGAGGGAGGGAACGGAGACGTAGGTCAGACTGACCAATAGGAATCTCGCTAGAGAGGCCAATCTACTTCGAGTGAAACTAAACAAGCCAATGCACATTGGCGTGCAATCATTTGCATCAGCTGTGCAGCCTCGCAGCGCGGGTATTTAACAAGCAGCTGTTTGATTGCACACTAGTTTTTTGCTGAGAAGCCAAACCTGAAAAAGCTGGCCCCCCGGCGGGCGGCAGCAGATGTGGCGACGGGACCTACGTCTCCGTTCCCTCCCTCAGGGAACGAGGGTTACCATATGTAACCGAGACATTCCCTATCGGTCAGTCACTACAACGTAGGTCAGACTGACCAATAGGAATCCCTACCAAAGCGCCACAGCTGCTGCACCCCATCCAGCGCCCCATGCAAGCCTCTACACCTTCTTGCCTAGAAGGACGATAGGAGGCTACACACAGAGTGTATCTGTCACTGTTGTTCCGTAATAACCCATACAGTGAGATTATTGGATAACACTGGGAAAGCGTGCCCTTCAGTTAGGAAGGAGGACGCTGCGGAAGCCACTTACTTCAAGGAGTTATGTGGGGAATACATATGGACTAGCCCGAAGGCTGTACTACATATGAGATAGTGGGTGACTAAGCCCAAGGGAAAGACACGGGCTTCCGTTAGGAGCAGCCGTGGAAAATATACACATATGGGATCCCCGTAGGGTCACACATATGGAACCCAGCCCAGATCCGGTTCTCAAGGATTCAGCGGATAAAGGCCTGGCACCTGGACGCTCCGCCATGTCCGGGCCGAGGGGTTTTTGGAGGACTCAACAGGTTTTTCACTCTGGAGCAATAAGGGTGCACAGTAGGGTGCAGCAAGCCGACAGAGCCGGGCCTCTCGGTGCTTCTACCCGTTTAGGGTGAGAACACGGGAGGAGACCGGCTCTACACGTAGGCTATAATATCTAGCGAACGTGTTAGGTGTCGCCCAGCCCGCAGCTCTACAGATATCTGTTAGCGAGGAGCCACGTGCCAGCACCCAGGAGGATGCAACGCCTCTCGTGGAGTGTGCATGCAACCTGAGCGGGCAGGGCCTGCCTTGAGCTTGGTAAGCCAAGGCGATGGCATCCACTATCCAGTGGGCCATCCTCTGCTTGGAGACAGCCTTTCCCCTCTGCTGGCCTCCGTAACAGACAAAGAGCTGGTCTGAGGTCCTGATGCTTTGAGTTCTGTCCACGTACATATGCAGAGCGCGAACGGGACAGAGCAAAGCCAGGGCTGGGTCTGCCTCCTCCAAAGGCAGCGCTTGCAGGTTCACTACCTGATCTTTGAAGGGAGTGGTAGGAACCTTGGGCACATAGCCAGGCCGGGGTCTTAGTACCACATGGTTGTCACCCGGCCCGAACTCTAGGCACGATTCGTCGACCGAAAATGCGTGCAGGTCTCCTACCCTCTTGACAGAGGCCAGTGCAACCAGTAGCAAAGTCTTCATGGAAAGAAGCTTTAAGTCTACTGACTGCAGAGGCTCAAAGGGAACATCCTGAAGTGCTCGAAGCACCAGGGAAAGATCCCAAGAGGGTATGGAGGGGGGTCGAGGAGGATTTAATCGTCTCGCCCCCCTAAGAAACCTGACGACCAGGTCGTGCTTCCCCACTGTTTTGCCATCTATGTTGTCGTGATAAGCTGAAATAGCGGCAGCATGTACTTTGAGGGTGGAGGGAGACAGCCTTCGCTCCAACCCTTGCTGCAAGAAGGAAAGCACAGACCCTATCGAACATCTTCGGGGGTCTTCTCGGCGAGAAGAACACCACTTGACGAACAGGTTCCACTTCAGGGCGTAAACACGTCTCGTGGACGGCGCCCGTGCTGAAGTGATGGTGTTAAGTACCTCAGGGGGTAAGTCACCTAGAACCTCCGCGTCCCGTCCAGGGACCAGACATGGAGTTTCCAGAGGTCTGGACGCGGGTGCCATAGGGTGCCCCGTCTCTGAGTCAGAAGATCCTTCCTCAGAGGAATGGGCCAGGGAGGGACTGTCCAAAGGAGCATGAGTTCTGGGAACCAAGTCCGGGTGGGCCAATAGGGAGCCACCAGAAGGACCTGCTCCTCGTCCTCCCTGACTTTGCACAGTGTCTGTGCAAGTAGGCTCACTGGGGGAAACGCATATTTGCGGAGGCCCCGGGGCCAGCTGTGTGCCAGTGCGTCCGTGCCGAGTGTTCCCTCGGTCAGGGAGTAAAACAGCTGGCAGTGGGAGGTCTCTGAAGAGGCAAACAGGTCTACCTGAGCCTCTCCGAACTCTCTCCAGATCAGCTGAACCACCTGGGGGTGGAGTCGCCATTCTCCCGGAAGCACAGCTCGTGATAGCTCGTCGGCCACACGGTTGAGCACGCCAGGGACATACATGGCTCGAAGCGACCTCAGACGCTTCTGACTCCAGAGGAGGAGATGGCGGGCGAGTTGCGACATGCGACGGGAGCGTAGACCACCTTGTCGGTTGATGTACGCCACGGTCGCAGTGTTGTCCGTACGGACCAGCACGTCTCTGCCCCGTAGCGGCCTTTTCAGGCGGCTCAGAGCGAGATGTACTGCTAGCAACTCGAGGCAATTGATGTGCCAATGCAGTTGGGGAGCCGTCCACACCCCTGACACTGCATGCCCGTTGTACGTGGCACCCCAGCCGGTGGCAGAGGCATCTGAGAAAACCACAGCATGCCTGGAAACCTGTTCCAAGGGGACTCCTGCCCGAAGGAACGAGAGGTCTGACCACGGGCTGAAGGTCTGGCGGCAGGCCGGTGTGATTGCCACCCGGTGAGTGCCGCGCTGCCACGCCCATCTCGGGAGCGGAGTTACCGCTGCTGCCGCTGCCATATGCCCCAGGAGCCTCTGAAAAACTTTCACCCCGCCGTCCTGCCTTTGAACGTGTTCAAGCAGTTCAGCACCGACTGAGCGCGCTGCTCTGTGAGGCGCGCTGTCTGTGCGACCGAATCCAACTCCATACCGAGAAAAGAGATCCTCTTCACAGGGGCGAGTTTGCTCTTTTCCGAGTTGACCTGAAGGCCCAACTGGCGGAGGTGCGTGAGCACGAGGTCCCTGTGTTCGCATAACTGATCTCGAGAGTGTGCTAGTATAAGCCAGTCGTCGAGATAGTTGAGGAGGCGAACGCCCTGTTCTCTCATGGGAACAAGGGCCCCCTCCGTGACTTTCGTGAAGACACGGGGAGACAGGGACAGCCCGAAGGGCAGGACCTTGTACTGATATGCTCGACCCTCGAACGCAAAGCGCAGAAACGGCCTGTGTCGAGGAAGAATCGAGACATGAAA